GCAGCATTACTTAGAGCTCCTCATTCTCATGCATTCAGGGGATATATGGCTCCAGAGTACACAAGGAGAGGGCATTTTTCAGCTAAGTCTGATGTTTATAGCTTCGGGGTGCTAGTTTTGGAGATCATCAGTGGGCAAAAAATCCATTCATGCATTGGGGAAGATGGGGACGATCTTCTAACTCATGTAAGTTTCTTTCTTATCTTCTATGAGTGAGTTGAACAGATATGCTAAGAAATTGAGGAATTATGTAATCTGTACCTTAAACCATCTATACATTGTTATGTCTTTTTCTTTCAGGCATGGAAACATTGGATGGAGGGGACTGCTCTGGAATTGATAGATCCCATTTTAAGAGATGGATCGACTGGTGAAATGACGAGATGTATCCAGATAGGCCTATTATGTGTTCAGGAAAATGTTGCTAAAAGACCAACCATGGCATCTGTTGTTCTCATGCTTAGTAGCAGTTCTGGACCTCTTCCAGTTCCCTCAAAATCGGCATATCTTATGCACTCTATCATGGAGTCAGATACATCTTCAGAAGCACCTGCTCAATTCACAGTGAACAAGGTTTCAATTTCCGAGCTAGATCCTAGATAGGAGCTGTATGTATCTTTTCAGTTTTTAACTGTGTGCTCCCTATTCTTAACTTCAGTACTTTACTACACCAGGTCTGCACTGTTTCAGCAAGTGAATTCATCTGATATTAGGTCAATACCTTAGATTGTTTTATAGAGTATATTCTCTCAAGACTTGAGAGTATATAATTCTGCTTATGGTATGGTAATTTTTCTTCATTTTGATGGTTGACTGAATCCCACGATTAGCCAGACACTAGCTCTCAAATTAAATAAGTTGCATAAGTGTAATGATTTGCATTCAGAAAATGGAGAAACTGTTTTAATAAATAATAGAGATATTGAGAGCAAGTTGGAAAATTCTCTGGGTTATGTGTGGACACTTGCTGGCTGCCCTCAATTTCGTTATTCTTTTACAAAATAAATTTAATATGGTGGTTAAGAAGCGTATAGATATTGAGAGCAGCCGGCATGTGCAATTTATCATGTGGGTTATTTGACCGCACCCAAGTTGACAAAAGAAAAGTAATGAATTCGACCAAAATTTGTTCTAACTCATGAATTATTTTTCAAAAAATTCTCTCGTAGATGCACAAAGTAAAGGTGAAGTTATGAAATATATAGTAGATGGTAGGTTATATAATAAAAAATACATTTTTTTAAAATCTCTTTTCATTTATTTTAGTATTTTTTAATATGAATATTTAAATTTCTAATTATTAAGATATTCTTATGACATATAAAGGAAAAGTTATTATTTAAAGAGATTTATTTATTTATTCATTTATTTTTTATTAAAAATGGTTTTTATTTAAGGTGAGTTAAACTTCAAAATATTAGTCTATAAAAAAAGAAGATAAAAATATTATTAATAAATATTT